ACAGTTGGTCACATGATCAAAACTTATGCTTGGCATAGCAAAACGGTTTTGTGCCATAGCTTGGCACAAAACCGATGTTTGGCAATTGACATGAATTTATCCAAGTTGCAGTGTCCCAGGATCATGCGATCACCTTTGTGGCCTTCTGACAAGCAAAGCCAAAGGGGAAGCCAGGTCCACTTGACCATTGTTACTAACTTAACAACTTCAGTGATTCACTTAACAACTGTGGCAAGAAAGGTCATAAAATGGGGTAAAATTCATTTAGCAAATGTCTCGCTTAGCGACAGAAACTTGGGGCTCAATTGTGGTCGTAAGTCAAGGACTACCTGTAGAATAGTCATCCTCTAAATGCCACCTCTTTTATGAATAACTACAAACATTTGCCTGAAATGGTAGCAGGGGGTTGGACTAGAAGACCTCCAAGGTCCTTTCCAACTCATTCTATTCCAAAGAATTTGGGTCTGGTCTCAAAATGATGGCATAAAATAGAGGCTAGTTAGGAAGGTCTTTAGAAAACAAGCCAACGTGATTAGCACTTGTGCATACCATGACCAGAATAGACATGGTGGCAACCTGATAAAGCCCTAGAAACTTTTTCTTTCTCTGCAAATGAACTGTGTACAGATGATAGCAAGCAATTAAAGCACACTGATTCCTATTTTCTATGGATGCTTTGGTTTTGACTGGAAATAGGTACTTCGGGACATATGGCAGCGTAAACACAATTGTCGGTGACTACCATTGAAGTAGCGGTGTCTGTATCCATACCCTGGAGCCTCACAGCAGCTGCCCTGGCCTGGAGCCAGACACAGCTGCTTTAATGACCACAAAACAGATCCTTCCTTCAAGCTGTGTACTCCTAAATTACTTCTTCCCAAATTGCACAACCTATTTATTTTATATATGTGGACGATGCTGTAAAATGCTTGTGTGTTCTGTGGTGAAGAAAAGCAAATGAAGTAAACCAAGGACTATCTGTAGAGGGATCCTACAGTCACCATCTAACACTACCTGTTTTATGAATAACTACATTCCAAATAATCTGGTTTCAATCTCACGATAATAGCAGAACATAGAGGCTAGTTAGGAATGTACTTAAGAAAACAAGCCAACGTGGTTAACACTTGTGCATACCATCACTAGAATAATCTTGGTTGTACCTGATAAAGCAGTACACAGAGTAGGATTGAGAGGAGCTATTTTAAGTCCATGCAGGGGAGATGAAACGTATCACCATTGCTGGAGCAGAGTCAGTCACAGTGATGCAGTGTGACAGAAGACACCTACCCTTGATTGCTGAATCAGCAACATCACAAATTGTATTTAATTGCTCCTTGGAAGGATGTCTTCCAGCAGACAATTTGCCTCTTGATCTCCAGCAAATGATAGAGCAAAGGGGTTTTGCCTCATACAAAAAGTTGATGCAGTTTTGCATGATTGAAAATACAGAGGGGGGAAAACATCTGTTTAAGCATGTAACTTGCATCTGAAACTATGCATTTTCCAGCCTTCCTTATCCACACATGAAAAATATTAATGATGGTGAGAGCATGAATAAAATGGACCCAATATAATATTTGAATTTAGTGCTATAAGAAAAAGTATCTCCTATTCCATTAATCAAATTTTGTACTGCAAAATCAGCAATACAAGACGTGGTTTTGCCTAGGAGATCTTAGGGTCTTCAGCAAGACTGAAAGCACTAGAAATTGGAGAATGGGAACAGTATCACTTTAAAGTTAGTATTTTATCCTCTGCGAAGACAGCAAGAGAATTTTGGAACAAACATTCTAATGGATCTAGATCAGATGGATCAGCAAAAGTTCTGCTTAGAAATTAATGGAGCAGATCCCATGGATTGATGGCAATAGAAAGAATCTGAAGCTGACTTAGTAGATGTAGCTTTCACTAAGGATAAGAGCTTGAGCCAAAAGAATATTGGTTGTATCTGAAATACAGGATTTGTCTGAATAAAAATTATTTGAGAAGATTCCTGTGACTAATACAGAGATACTTGGAAAAGGTATCAAGTGGTTTGGTCAAAGACATGATTGAGCAGCAATCATGCCTTTGACCAAGAACATGAAGGAAATTGGATACACCTGCTTCTATCTTAGCCATGGTGGTTTAGTGGTTAGAATGCTACAGGCTACTTCGGCTGACTGCCAGCAGTTTGGCAGTTCTAATCTCACCAGCCTCAAGGTTGACTTGGCCTTCTGTCCTTCTGAGGTTGGTAAAAATGAGGAGCCAGATTGTTGGGGGCAATATGCTGACTCTGTAAATCGCTTAGAGAGAGCTGTAAAGTGATATACAAGTCTAAGTGCTATTGCTATTAGGTGATTTCAAAGAGGTTGAAATGGGGATTATGAAAGAGGACCTGGTGGGCAGGGAGGCAACTGAACTAAGAGAAATGGGCCCTTTGGAAGTTGACTAATCATGAGATGGCCAATTACAATCTTGATAGTCTCAATATAACTTAAGGGAAAAGTCTCAATTTGGACTATCATGAGATGGCCAATTACAATCTTGATAGTCTCAATATAACTTAAGGGAAAAGTCTCAATTTGGACTATCCTGATGAGTAAGAAAGTAATCCAGGATAGATCACAGCTGTCCCAGACCTCTTTTCTCAGATGAACTCATAGTTTACCAAAAAAAAAGCTAGTGAGGATTGAATAGCATAAATTGGACAGTCTTATGCTGGAACTGGTGATAATGGAGTTGGAGGTCATTATGAAGGGGCTACTGATGACTAGCACTGATGATGTTACCTAGTTTAGGTAATGAAACATCTGCAAGAAAACAACCAAGTTCAGAGAGCACCAAGGACTCGATACAGTACCAGGATGATCACCTCAAATATGAATGTGCTGAGAAAGTGCTGGTCGCAAACACACTGAAATTTGAGTAGAAAGTGTAGAAGGCGCCGGTGAAATAATTTCATAAAATCTAGAAGGTTCTGAAGAGGGCTTAGCATAAATACATAAACAATGTGTGCAAATCACAGTGACCATGCTGAAAAACCCACTTGTTCAATATGTAAAAAAATCCCGAACAGTAATGTTTATTTTTGCTCCTAATTAAGGAGAAAAAAGACAAGCATTTTCACTGAAGTAGTAAAGATGACAAAAGCATAGCATTTGTAAATTTGGTATGGCCAACGCAAGAGAGAAATCATGACCATCCTTTTTAGACACATGAAAGATACTGTCCTGCTCTGGAAAATTTGAGAATGTTTTATTTTCCCTGTGAACTGTCATACCTGAAGTAATTGAGCAGTTTTTTGAAAACTTTTCCACAAACACTCCACCAAAGCACCTCTTGCACAACAAGTATGACCTGGAGGAAAAAGCAAGCATTCCACAATCCTACAGAACATTCTTTTTCCTGGTAGGTTTGGCATATACCAACTATAATCTAGAAGCAAAATCATTGAATTTTCACTGCCACGAAAGATGAACAACAGGATGGAAAATCTTGTCAAGATCTCTTGCACCCAGTCCTGGTGTTAGCAAAATAAAATCTAAACTTACCAGAGCAAACTGGTTCACTTGGACGTAAAGTACCTCAACCTCTTTTTCAGTGACATCTCTTCCAAAGCCTTTACATTCCTTGTAAGCTTCCAAGTAAGATCTCAACCACTGTCTTTGCAGCTTTCTGCTTGGATAGAGGTTATAGTCAACCTCACTCACTCCTACAAAACAGTAACTCGTTAAAAAGAAAAATTGAAATTTCAAAATAATAACAACAAATTCTGTATTTCCGTGTTCAGCTTTGCTCTTTATTTATCTCAGAATCTGAAACAAAGTATGCACTCATTTGATCCATGTCTTAGCACCTAACATTCTTTAGTACCCATCAAACTTCCCATTCTTTATTTTTTTAAGATTATTTGTATTTAAAAATAGATAGGGGGGAAAAAACAAAGTAGCTGCCTTAAGAGTATTTCCCCCCAATAATTCCTTAGGCATTAACTTCTAAGAAATATTTTTATAAAATGAAAATGGGAGCTGACTAGCCAAAGCTTTTTTTTTTTTTTTGCCTCTGGTGTACTAGGGGATTTCTGACTGTGTGCAGAGAAGGGTGGTGGTGAGCAGAAGAGCAGTTGGGAGGCAACTGCTAGACACAAGAAAGGAATAGAAAGATAAATAAATTCACTGCTATGCTTTAAAAATTCCACAGGCAGGGTTTAAATCTAAGCGTGATCTCATTTCAAGTTTCACTCTATTTAAATATTAAATCATAATGTCCCACAAAAAAGATTAAGACATTTTGGTTCTGCCTTCTGCAATAAACTAGTCCAGAATGACAGTCTTAACTGAAGAAATTTAGGAACGCCTTTTCTTTTCTTATACAATAACTGTTCCCTTTATTTCTCATCCAACATTCTTATTTGAAGGCCAGAGGGGAATAGCAAATTTTTCAGAGCCTTTTTGAAGAGTTCAAGGGTTCTTTCAAACCTGAATAGAGAAGTCTAGCAGCTTTTTATTTCACCTTTCACTTTCTCTCTGCTTTCAGCTTGTGCTCTGCATCCCCCTGCTCCTAATCCCGAGCCTGCTTTTCAAAATCTCTATGGTCATCAGGGCAGGTTCAGAGACTCAAAATATTCACCCCTTAAAGATGAGGTTTCCACAAAAAAAGCTAGTGATATATCTTCATCACAGCCATAATTACCATAGTGTCAATTTTGTGAGAGCAATAATACAAAGCATGTTCTTTACATACTGTTTTTTTAGTTAAGAGATGGAAACTAGGCTAGCAGTCTTAATGGAATCTGCTATCATGTGCAGCATTCCCTACTATACAATATCAAGTTTTGACATAAATTGGGCAATACAGCACTACCAAACTTAAGCTTTACTCGAGGATTGCTTACATATCCTTTGCGAGCTTGGTATTCAAAGCTAGAGGCTACTTTAGCAGCCAAAAATAAAACAGAATGCTTGAAGCAGCATATGGATTTAGTGCAAAGATGGTTCTTAAAAATATAAAGTAGTGAATAACATAGATATAAACTTGATTTAGGCATATTTTCCTCACCTCATTCATTTATTTTCTTTATTAGTTTCTCCAATTTGTATATTTCACAGCAGGTAAATATACCGTACATATACTGTCAGAATTCAAAATGTGGCCCAACAAAACCCCAAAATAACATGGCAACAGGTGCAAGCCTAGCAATTAGTTAAAAAAAACTGGCCAGCAGTTCTTGTCCTACTATACTGCATTTTTGATAACAATGTAATCCTTATTGCTCTTTACTTAGCAAAATACTCAGGCAATTCTGATTTATTTATTATATAGCTTTTATTAGTATGGTTCAACTTCAATGAGTAAAGCCCAATTTTGCTATACTGTTGGTAAAATCAGACAGACTTTGATTACATCATGATCTAGCTGTAAATTATAATGTTTTGTTCTATTTAATTTGCTGGAAATTATTTGAATTCTGCCCAATGGTCATAATAAAGAATTAAAATGTAGTCCTCCCAAAAGAATTTTTCAAAAAGGATTTTTAAGGTCAATGTAAGGTACCAATGCAAAGTTATTTAAAAATACAAGCAGCTTCCACAGATATAGAAAATATTTTTAGAACACATTGTACATTGGCACAAAAGTACTTTAAGATATCCTTGTGATATTTTAAAAGAAAAGACAAAGATATACCATTTTACAAAAGCAGATTGAGGCCTCCTTAGATGGGAACCAAATCAAAATATTTTTAAATAGTTTTTAAGATGATATTGTATAGCCATTTGTCTGAAGTGGTGTAAGGTTTCCTACCCAAGCAGGGGGTTGGACTTGAAGACCTCCAAGGTCCCTTCCAATTCTGTTATTCTTTCTATTTCAAGATGACTCTGCAGCAATACTAAGAAAAAGAATTTGCATTTCTCCCAGGAATACTAAGGAGAAGCAAATCAGATATAAATGGAAAATCCCATTTGTTCTGTAAATCATCTTGGAAATGGAGGGAGGGGCAGTATCAAAATGGACTTTTAAAAACAGTTTTGCAATCTAGGTATTTCTTTTTTGCAGATTACATTCCTTCCTCTAAGTAAATGGAGCATGAAGTGCACATAACTACAGCTTCCAATTTTACATAATTTCACATGCATTATGACCCAATTTTCATAGCTGGAAATGGTGTATTAGACCATAAAGAATGCTCTGTTAGAGTATATTCATACAGGCTTTCATATAGCCCTAATTAAGAGTTTTAATGCTTCAGCAGGAATACCTGCTACATTATCTCCTTGTGGAGGAGCAAAAAGGGTACATGTATTCCTTCTTCCTCTCATTTCCCCCCACAATTCTATGGGGGAAGGCTGTCCCCGTGAGCTTCTGAAACCAAGGATGGGCCACATACTCTTTCTTCCCAGAAATTCAAAAATCTGTATTAAATTCTCAATGGAAGACTCCTCGCTTCCACTACAGGGACAATGAAGAAAGGGAAATAAGGAAGTCCAGGGACATTGCAGGCTGACAAGAGGGAAGATTTATCTTAGGTCATTGAGTCTTCTTCCCAGGAAAGCAGCTATGTGTGCAAACACATGGAAGCAGTCGGAACAAGTCTCAAAGCACCTGCGCATGCCTTGCAAAAGATGCTTCAAGAAATCTGAGAAGTGGTTCCATTTGTACAGCTGCACATTGTGAGGCACTCATCCAATCCTAATGCAGCGCTAATGGTCCAAGCCATTAGAAGCCAGGTTACTACCGTACCTGCAAACTCATTGAAGTGGTTCCCAATATCATAAGCCAGGTAATTATATCCACAGTACTCGTAGTCAATGAACTGAACATCACCTACACGAGACACAAAAATAAAATTGGTAAGAGTAAGAGCGGAGCGCTATGAATCTGCACTGTGCCCCTTAATATCTGCCAGTGTGTTCCACTCTGCTGTGCTCTGTATAGCATGCATTTTAGGAAATTCCAAGATTGCATTTTTTTTTTTTTGTTTTAACGAACAAGAATAAACTTTATCAAAGATACCTTTTTCTTAATTACTTAGGGATAGAACCTCTGCTTTTGTACCACAGGGGGGCATCAGTTATCTTAAATTCCATTAGTTGGGAGGCCTTGGTCTCTAAATATAATATTCAAACCATTTTAAAACTATTCCTCATCCAATGTTAGCAGGGCTGAACACAAAATAAGTTAGTACCGTTACAGGCAAGGGGTTCTTTAATAGAATGCTTATCATTTTGCAAAAGGGGGTACTGTATACGTGCTGTTATTTTGCTTCCTTTATACAAAACGTATTCATTTTGCTTACAGTACAGCACATCTTCCCTAAGTATTTACCTACTATCAGAACAACACCTGCATGAAGCCATATGGGTTGTATTCAAACATGAATTCATATTGTCATTATATCCTGACCTATTATCTCCTGACATATATCTCAGATTAAAATGTGAAAAAAGGAAGCAGCACTATATATTTCCAAGCAATAGATTATGAACTTTGAACCCCTGAACAATTAAACTGCTTTTCTTCACCTTAAATGTGTTTAATATATCACATATGTGGCGATACAATCATAAAAAGTAGTTTACATTATGCAGTGCAAGTAGAGGCATTAAATGTTCTCACTGCTAGAATATATTGCCAGCAATCCTCATCAGTCATTCCAAAGAAGCTCTGGGAAATATAGTTCCATAAAAGGGCTGAGGATATGTCGGTCTATATTCCAAATATTCTACCTACCATTACATATTTCAGGATTCTTTGCAATTACAGTTAATTGAGAAAAATTCACATCAGATACATAATAAATGTGGTCAACTTTAAGATGCCACAAGACCTAGGATATTTTTTTAGTTGGGGTGGGTGGTGGTGGAACAAACTAATATAGTTAAAACATATATAGAGGTTTCTCACAATAGTATCTTACAAGCCAGGGAGTAACTTTATACCCTACAGGCTAATCAGAAAATATTTTGGATGGCCCCTAAACAAATCCTGTTTCCCAAATCACTCATCTTATAAAGATGATTCATTAAAAACAAATGCACGCTCAGTTTAACTCTTCTTTTGCCATTCAATACAGCTAACCCTTAACAGAATTATACTTTATCCAAATGTTTGCAGTTAAAAAAAAACAAAACCAATAAAGGTAGCAGGTGAAAGGCCTGCATGCACAATACTAAGTAAATCAAACATTATTTGTATTCAAGATATACTACGTTAATTATGTCTGCAATGCTCTTATCACCATACGTTAAATCCCTTGCTAACTTTCAGTTATAATTTACAATATTACAAAACAAAAATAAAAACAAAAAGACAGAAAGAAAGAAAATGAAGCTAAGATACAGATGAGGCTGTTACCAGGCTCCGTGCTCTCCTAGGGGGAGGTGCATGCGAACAAGTGATGCGATAATACCTCCAGTCAGTGCCTGTAAGTAGCACGGTGCACGCCGCCACTTGGCAGCAACAATGGCATACCTAATCTGTAGCAGATGAAGAAAATTTGGCAAACTCATATTTGACAAGACACAAAACTTTAAAGAGAAAAGTTCTGCATTTCACCGGTCTTTCTTTTGACAGACTGACATTACAGTGGAACTCAGCCTTAAATTTAAGTTTTGCAAGAAATTCAATTACTGCCGTCAAGATGCACGGCTCGGTTTCATTTTGAAGCTTAAGGAAATAGGGGCTGCTTCCAGACATAATGTTATCATTTGGATGCAATAGTCTTTGGGCTTTTTTTAAATTGATATAATGAATCATAATTACAGGCAAAGGCGTTGTTTCCCAAATATTCACGGAAATGGCATGTAGCATGGTCCCCAAAAATCCCCAGAGTAATTAGAGCCCTACTCCAAATATGTTTTTAAAAATCCTGATTAAAATTCTGTTTATGGTGTCTGACACATTCAATGCAATGTGAATATCCAGCATGTAGCGAAAGAAAAGGTTTATGCAAAAATAGTTCGGGCTAATTGCCTTTGTCTATTTCCTCTTACAGAGCAGGGATGCAAACAACTATACGAATAGCTTGCATCTGTAGTCAAAATTATGAGTATTTCTTCAGGAAAATTAAAAACTGAATGTCAAAATTAGTCTTCTACTCCCACTTCTTCAAAGTTTTGAGTACTTGCTACTAATTGTGAAGCACTAATGCACTTTTGCCTGTTATTTTTTTCAGAAATAATTATAGATGTAGTATGTAAGCCAAGATAACACTATTTTTAAAAAAATGTTGATGCTAGCTTGAATTCAGAAAGTACCAAAGACCAAATTTAAAAGGCACATTAAGAATATATTTGGTTTACTATATCTTTAGAGATCATTAAAAAGTATTAATTTTCAACTGGGTAAGCTACAGTGACTAAATTTAACAGATTAATGCACTGATAAGCTTTTATATACAAATGTAATCAGAAAGGAAAAATTTGGACTGTTATTTAGATCTGATGTTTAGACATCAGATGCATTGGAACTGGAATTGTATTTGAACACTTTGTTATTATTAATAAGACAATGCAATATTTTTACTAATAGCTCTTTTTCTGTTTTATATAATTAAAAAATATAAGATAATATTTTAACATTAAAATAAAATAATCTTCCAGTAGGAAGCTTTAGAAAAAATTATACAACTCAAAATTAAGACATCAAATGCTCTTGAAAAATGATTGCACATTCCTCTTTAATTCTACAGTTAAATTTCTTTTCACATCTGCCACCTAAACCTTATTTAACAGCCTATTAACTGGATTCAATTATAACATTTGCAGGAATTATTTACTTATTTATCCAAAAGGAAGACTTACTACCAAATTAAATTTCCAAAAGGAAAAGTCATCTTCAAATTTGCTGAGATTATAACAGAAACCTATTAATTTTTTCTTCTTAATAATTGGGGCAGGGGTTTCACACATGCTTGCAAGCACTTCAGGTAACTACTGTAACTGTAAGTTGTGCTATACTTTTAAAAGGTGTTTATAAGCTTTTATGGACAAAGACCAACTGAATAGTCAATCACATTTTGAAATGATCTAGTAACATTTAAGTTCAAGTCCTTTGAGTAAAAAAAAAAGTGCATAACAAGACTAAATTAGAAATTAAATGTTTCCTGCAGTTGCTTTAATAAATGAGTCACAACAAATGTGCTTTGATTCTTTTTTCCTTGTTGCTGCACTACAGGAGGAAGAGGAAGCAATCAAATTAAGGTTTGTTTAGCATTATACCTGAACTGTTTGCTTATATCGCAATATGAGTTGGGACAATTTGTAATTAGTTTAAAAAACATGATTTCTAGATCCAGATCTGTTTGCACAAAACCATAGATTAAACAAATCAGTTCGTTCAGATTCATACTCCTCTGTAGACATTCTTACATTTCTTTAAAAATTATCTAAACAATTTTCTCTGGAAAAGATTTGTCACTGACACAAAATAAGTCAATAATAGAAATAAGGAGAGAGCATCGTGCATCTTAAAAAAAAAATTTCAAGTAGCCTGCAAAACATTTCAGCATGAATGACATATTAACAGCACTGTATAAGAATTTACCTTCCACAGCACAAAAGTTAAAGTTAAAGCTGAGTTTCCACTGCAAAAATAAATGGTTCCTCTATAATACTGTTACCAGTTTCATAAATACTGTTGCCAAGTACAAGACAATACACAGTTTTTTTTTCCAGTTTACTTATTCCAAGGTTAAAGCAATACATACTTCAGCAATGTAGAAGTAATAAGCACCATATGGGGTTGCTCACAGAATCAGAACTAACAAATAATAGTTAGGGCTATTATTTGTTAACTTCAACTACCATAGCATAATCGACTTGTACTCTGCCCTAACTGTGTATGTGTTGTGCTGCAACATTTAAACACGTCAGCTTTAATGGTACACTCTAGCTACTATATTCGCTTGGTACTTTCCCCCCCTTTAAAAAGTTGCAAGCAATTTTACATATTGAGAATACTCCCTCTCCCCCTCCCTGTTCCCAAATACTAAACACTCACACACTGGTTTTTGTAGAAATGCTCTTAAATGATGTACTGCTCTCACTGATTTATTCTCCATTCTGTTCACAAAAGAAAATGACAGCAGATTTGTTTCAAAAGTAGGCATGTGACGCCTAGAAACTTTGATAGTGTTCTGAACTGTTTGTCAAGATACTTGTTTGAAAAGAGTTCCATCAGCTCTACAGAAGAGACACTTTCCTCAGATTTGATGAAATAACTCTCAGTGATATGAATTAAGTTCACATCTCTTATGCAAGCTTACATGAGGACTCCACATCAAATCTAAGGAGAGTAATCTAGACAGATGGCCAATAAGCCACATTAGCGTATCAACAGGTAAGGGTCTTGGCTGCAAGAGAAGAGCTATGAGGCATTTAATTTCTGGCTGTGATTAAAATCTCACAGATGGGTCAAAAGAAAAAGCAATAATTTCACTGGTGTCTCTTTAATGTAGAGTTTGGATTCAATTGAAAAAAAAAAAAGCTAATGTAACTGTCATTGTATGGCTTGCTTAGAAGTATAATTTCCACATAGGAGAAAATTATCAATACTTGAAATATTTATAATTACTTGAGAAATCTGAAGTCATGTGTTCATCTAGGAATTTCATATACTACTTCAAGTTTTTAAGGAGTTGCTTATTTCAATACCAGTAAAGAAAGAGAAAATATTAAAAAGTTCCATGCACTTTACTTAAAACAATTTAAGGGGGATATTCTATTTATTTTTATCCCCTGATATAAAGCAAGCATCAGCTTCAAGGCAGAATGTTCTATGATTTATGTCATCCCATCCAATTCCTACTTTTTTGAATTTTGTTGATTTATTTAATTCAAACAAAGGTCTTAGTTCAAGTTAATGCTGGTTAAACAGAAGTTGTATTTTGAATTTGGAATGGGAAATAAAATTCCCTCAAAAGTAATTTTCTTCTCTATTCCAGTACTGCATTTGTACTGATTTTAACGCAAATAAAGATATCTCAAATAGTCTTGAGAACTCCAAACCATGCTTTCGGTCTTAGGGTTATATTAAGACCATAATCTGAATTGGGATATATGCAATTCCAAAATGTAATGAATATGAAAGGAGGGAGGGAAACAGGCATGCATTGCTAGCTTGTCCACATTATTATCAAATAACCAAGTTATGTCACTGAAAACAGTAAATGTTAAAATGTTTTAATACCATTGGATCATGTTATAAATTATAGGCGATTCTGACATAATTATTTTCAGGTTGAATGCCTCTGAAACTGATGGAAAATTAAGACAAAAAGCCAATTTTCAAAATACTTCCAACAGAAAATATATTTACAAACAGATGCTCAACTTTAAGGATACCTATGTACCTCATCAGCAGGTATAAACAGAGACTTGCAAAGTATCTTTTGAGATACTTCACCATGCAGAATTCCTCCAGGACATCAATATATCTGATAATTCAGAATACAGAGATAATATACAATAACCTAGAGACATTTGCTCTCAAAGCTATCAGAAATAACAACTCATCAAAGATATAGTTAAGACAACAATGTATGCTTAAATTGCTGCTGTCTACACAGAATAAAAATATCAATATGGAAAATAATATAATATTTACTATAAATATTATAAATCTTCATATATTAAAATATCAGTTATGGCTATTAAAGCAATTTATAAGCAACATTTAGAAATACTCTAAAATAAATTTGAAATTGTCCACCCTCCACAAGCTGTTGCTCTATATCAGGCAATATAAAACAATTTTTAAAAGTTACTTACAGCTGTGTTCCATACCTACCTTGTTTTCCATTGTAGATGATATTTTTACACAAAAGATCATTATGACAAAGTACCACTGGTGAACCTAGGTTAGAGAGTCTCTCCTTCATCCATGCCATTTCATCCTGTAGAATTTGACGACTTGGCACATCTCGTAGAAACCTTTTAGAATTTGAGAACGGTTAAAAAAGTTTCAAGGATACTTCTCAGAATTTTATGAAGATTCTCTTATTTTGGTGGTGCAAGTTAAAATTTTCTAAGCTCCACATATTCTAAAACTATACTTTCACTTTACATTTTTAAACCAGAGAGTGATACTGAGATATATTCATGTATGAGCTTGGAAATAATTGTCATAGATAGTTGAAATTATCTTACCTCTTATGCAACTCCTCATCTGCAAATTCTGTTGGTGTAAGAGAGAAGTACTTTCCCATCTTTATCCATAAGTTTGACTTGGGTATCCATCCATTGTGCGCATGAATAGCATGTATTTTAGCAAGTTGTCTTGCTATCAGTCTGAAATACAGGTAATCCTCCAGTTACGACAGTTCACTAAGTGACCGTTTGAAGTTATGCAATAACCCCAAGTATTTATGTCTAAGTCCCAAAATTACGAATGTTGCAGCACCATGGTAGTTATTCACCCTTTCGAACGACCACAGAGGCACTGCAACATTCACCTATTCCCCCCAGCTCCCCACAACTCCTTCCCTCTCCTATCATGCCACATTGGACTCACTTATCCTGCAAAGATCTGTCTCCTCTCTGCAACAGTTTCTTTGCCTTTGAGGGAGAGGAGACCAGGATGATTTCCCTTCTAGATTCTGATCAGCTTGCAAATGCTTTTTGGGCCGAAAGTGAAATATTCTGGATGCCATGATCTTGACTGACTTTAGGCACCCATTCTCTGCAAAAGTGGATGGGTGTCTGAAGTCACGCAAGATCACGGCCCGAGAACATTTCACTCTCGGCCCAAAAAGCATCTGCAAGCTGATCAGATGCGTGGCAGAGAAGAGACAGATCTTTGCAGGATAAATGAACCCAGCACAGCAGGATGGAAGGGGGGGAAGCATAAGGTATCTCAATGGGTCGGGGAAGCTTGGGTGGCCTGTTCCACCACTAGCTCCCCCCATGGCTTCCCCACCCTGAGATATCTCGTGCACTTAACGACTCACATATTGGAATAGCAAATGCATGATCACTTTCAAGTTACCTTATTCACTCCTATGAATTCTCGAGTTACAAATGTAATTAATTGGCAGGCTCCATTACATTCATAACTAGAGAATTACCTGTAAAATGAAAATTACACTAAAAAAAATCATTGTAATTACAAACACATTGGCTTTTATCAATCTCAGCTCAGAATAATGAGAAATCAGCTAGCTGTATATTATTAGGACAGCAATGGCACAGAAGAAGGAAATTAGCACATTATTTTGTTTTAAATGAGAAACTTCACAGTACAAAGTTATATTTTAAAAAATCTTGTATATTTGATAAATAGCTGCATGAAAGAGGATGTTGAACCAGAAAGGACTTTAATTCAATAAGATTAACTACATGGGTGTTTATCTTGATGGCTGGAACATCACCTGTTCCATGGTGAGAACTTCCATAATGTTCAGAAGGGTTAGGTTATGACTGGAACCCAAAATTATTTTTCTACTAACTGCATTGCTTCTACCCCAAAAAGATGATTCTGTGTTCTCATCACCTGGAAGCCACCAGGTGATAAAACCTGAACTTTAGGCCTATAAGTTTTTTGCAGAATGCAGATAGCTAGAAAGGGGGACAGGAATACCATTTTTCTTCTTGTAAAAGCAGGGCTATCCACAAAAGAGCAAGGAGGATCCACTGTATAAATATACCAATAGTTCCACACACCACAAAAACCAAACTGATTCTTTGCAGTAAAACCTATAAGAAATTTATTTTTCTAAAGTCAGCTGATTCAATTACCTTGGAAGAAATTGTATATAGTGTACAAAATGACCTGGCTATTCCGGCAGGCCTGGGGCTGTTGACCCCATTGCTGAGGTCCAGCCCCGACTGAAACGAATGTATCTGTGTTGTTTTTAACTTGTCTATTTTTATTTTCTTTTATTGTTTTCTTCCGCTCGCTGTAAGCCGCCCGGAGTCCTCCGGGATTGGGCGGCCTATAAATAAAATTAAACTTGAAACTTGAAACTTGAAAATATTAACCATGTATATTTGAAGAGAAATATCCCTACATATGTTCTGGGATAATTTACAGCAAGCTGGGGCAAATGACTAAGAAAAAAATATTCTAAGAAGCTTTGAGTATTTTACCAATAAAATTCAAGCTAGAAAAATATGTTAGAAGATAAATAAAGCTAAATGAGGAAAGTCCCTGGCAGATTTGCTAAATCAAATTAAACCTTTATTACAGCCTTTTGATCAGAAAGCACAACAATAAAATCTATAGACTCATAATTGCTAATAAAATTTTTTAAATGCAATAAAATTATATAAAATACAAGACATGGTCTGAATTAAAAAAAACAAAAATATTTGACAATAAAATTACATAAAAGCTACACTATCACTCAAGCACAAAACAGTACTGCAGAACAAAGGTGATACTGGAATAATTGTGTAAGATGTTTCATCCATTAAAGCCTACACCATTAATTAACTAAGATTTTAAGCTATTAACAAACTGGATTTTAGAACAATAATTCACTTGATTTCTCTGGAAATTGAGATAAATTTATTTAATCAAAAAACACTACAAGCAAGGTATTGTAGCTAGCAACCTCTTTGAATAAATTGTGTGTAAAAAAAGAATTCCAAAATGTTTACCGAAATATCTCTGGGTGGCAAACATGTTCTGGATCCAGAGCTTCTCCTTGCATGAACTCATAGCACAGGCCATTGCTGAAGGTGCAGTAAAGTTGGGGTGCACAACCATGGGCCTGCAGCACACGGAAGCTCTTCACTTCCTCTTCTCGATCAACTAGGAGTTCCGTCTTATTCCCGTAAATTCTAACAAGGACAACATCATCCATTTTTTCATCCACGTAACAGCCAATGAGTTTATTTGTGATTCCATCTGTAAATATCTGAAAAGAAAAAACAATGATTATTAGTTTAGTGAAATAGCTGCATATCTTAAGTACTGTTATGCTATGTTTTGGTTACGGCCTTGAAAGAAGTTTGCGTGGCAAAATTTGGTTGACCTTTTCCGAGTTCAGAAGGTAAATTGGATTGGGCCTGGCTAATACAGGTAATTCTTGATTTACAACCATTCATTTAGTGGCCATTCAAAGTTACACCACCACTGAAAAAAGTGACTTATGACTAGTTTTCACAATCACGACTGTTGCAGCATCCCTATGGTCATGTGATCAAAATTTGGGTGCTTGGTAACTAGCATTTATTAATGACAGCTGAACTGTCCCTGGGTCATATGATTGCCATTTGTAACCTTCCTAGCTGGCTTCCAAAAAGCAAAGTCAATAAGGGAAACCAGAGACGCTTAACCACTATGATTCACTTAACTGTGGCAAAGGTTGTAAAATGGGGTGCAACCAGGGGTGCGTTCCTGTACCGGTTGGTAGTGGTTCGCTTCGCGCACGGCTGTCACACGTTGCTCGTGCATGCACAATTGATTGAAAATTGTCCTGCGCATGCGCAGAAACATGCTGGCAATGGCATAAGAGATCGGGGTTCGGGGATGTGGCCAGCCTGGTTCTGCTACCCAGGCGAAACCACCACTACCGGTTCAGCTGAACCGGGAGCAACCCACCTCTGGGTGCAACTCATTTAACGATCTTGCTTGGCAGCAGACGTTTTGGACTCTATTGTGGTCATAAGGCAAGAATTAACTGAGAGACTTTAAGTCATTTGTTAACCAAGGTTATATGTTAATCAGGAAAGTAAAAGCAAAACAAACCATTTCCATGTTCTTCCCAGGATGGACATGGATACTCTGCATAATCACTAGTGTTATGCTGAACTTGTCTAAGATTTAACTTTTCTCAACCAATAACACAACCCACTTTGAGGGATACAGCTGAGTAAAATTATTTCCTAATTTAGAGATGTCTCAGCTAAATTTAAACATCTTTGTAAATGATGGCACTTTATAGAGTCCAGTTTATCATAAAATTTATTAGTCTAATAGAATAACCGTAACTCAATAGCAACAAATATAATTAAAGAAAGATTCACTAAGTGTGAAAGTATGCTGTCAAATAAAGAGAATTATTTTATTAAGAGCAAAATCGAGTACCAGTAAATAGAAAGAACAAAAAAGGAAAAAAGGAAAGAATGCTAACAAAGTCATTAGGCAAGGAAGAGAATGTAGTGAAATTCAATACTTGAATCAAACATAAATCCAATATCAGTTTAAGTTTTAATGTATTGGCTTTCAGCCAGCCCATTAACAAATGTAGATATCTATTCAAGAGGGCCTTATTTAGTTTAGATTAAAAGAAATAATGACGAAGCCACAACCCAAAACTTAGGACTAGATCTCTTCTTCAGTGGTTTCACTTAACACAACCATGTTGCTAACTTAATTGTAGCGATTCACTTAACAACTGTGGCAAGAAATGTAATAAACACTCTATTTGCTTAATACAGAACATGTTTGTGACACTTTTCCACAATATATTTCTGTATCTCCTCTCTCCTCCCCCCCCCTCCCGGCAGTTAGATATTTCAGACAGCAGAGGCTGCTGTGGTACTTTTCTGACTATCCCAGTACTATGATGTCAGTAAATCCAAGTGCGAGAAGCTCAAGAAATGGTTGCCAAGAGAGAATATTAATAGAAGAGAAAATAATGGGTTGCTGGTATAACCTGCCTCATGAAGCATCAATCCTGACATACCCCTATCTTTATGCTACAGATAGCAAGCATTTCCATAGGAACCTAGCCATTTCTCTCTCACACACAGAAAATATAATTTGTTTTCTCCCTTATTTAAGATAATAGAATCCCAGGCTTTATCATAGTTATTCTTTTACAGTAATGTCCTAGGTATGAATGAGCTATTCACAACTACTGTAATAACCATATTTAATAATTATTAGTGCATCCCCCATAAGCTATGTAGGAAAACGTATTCTCTCCTGACTCCAATGAGTTCAAATTCTTGATTAAATTTCTATACAACAGTTTGGCCAAACTCAATCAAGTAACACTATCCTTCTTTGTGGCTCTAGTATATTGAATTCTAACTGCATTTTAATTTTATTACTGCACTGCCAGGGCAGCAATGATGTTGGGAACTAGACATGCAGAAATTATAAGTAGAAATGATTTCTGCATTTCAGGAAGAAAACCTATCCCCTCCTGATACAATTGTGACACCTATCTATCAAATTATAAATATAGGTTTAAGAAATTAAATGTGCAATTATGTTTCGCTTGGATGCTTATGCTCCACATTTTGTATAGCATACCATAGATTTATGTCAATTAACAGTGAACAAAGCTTACAAAAGAGTTATAAAGTCTATTTGCAAAAATAATTTTACTCAAGAATGCAAAATTACCGCTAAAGATGCTTGCATCAAATGAACTAGAAACTACTAAAACTAACTCATTATATAATATATATATATATGCATGTAAATTATTAATATTTCTAGCATTTGCTGCCTATCCAATAAAAACAGGACGATCATGTTACAAAAAACCCACCTTGTAGCGTCTGTGACAGACCCCCTGGACACAACCTTCTGCTATAGAGCTCCTTTTTTAGATTAGCTTAACTCTGAAATAAAGATGCCCTGCCTCTCTCGACATACTAGAACACAGTCCAGCTATGTAGCTCTTCTTCAGGGCTTATGCAAAGAGTTCCGCAGGCTGGAGAGAGAGGGCGCTTAGTGAACCAGTGTTGCCCACCGAGTTGTTTTAAGTCTAATTATTATAACTGGAATATAGTATTAGCTGCTCAACACCTTTGGGCTGAAAAAACTATTTATTTATTTATCCAATTTCCTTACAGATAGTCCTCAACTTACAATCATAATTGAGCCCAAAATTTCTGTTGCTAAGCAAAACAGTTAAATGAATTTTGCCCCATTTTACAACCTTTNGTTTCACCACATTTTACAAGTTGGCCATGCCCTCTCAGTCACATGACTGCCAAGCCACCCCCCCACTCAGTCATATGGCTGGCAAGCCACTCCCACTTGGTCACATGGCCGGCAAGGCACTCCCACCTGGTCACATGGCTGGCAAGCCACTCCCACAAAGCAGGCCACACCTACACAAGAGGTTCTAAAAATTTTGAAACCCACCACTGAATCAAAGCCATGATTAACATAGGAGGGTGGGGGGGGGGAGAGTGCAGCACATCACAACATAGGTTTGGTTGGGTTTAAGGAAAGAAGGGCAGGGGTCTGAATTCAGTGATCTGTATATTTTAGCATTTACCACTACAATTTTCATTACCCCTCCTTCCGAATGCTATGAAACCATCCTGGTTTTCAGCCGTTACGGGTCCCAGTGGTAGGATTCAAATAATTTAACAACCGGTTCTCTGCCCTAATGACCAGCTGGGTAGGCGGGGCTCGGTGGTCATGTGACCAGGTGCGTGTGGCCAACTCAACATCACTTGGAGGGGTGCTTCGCCTTATCTGTTAGTTTCTGTAAGCAGGGCAACAAAGATGAGGCTAGAAACAACACCAGAATGTTTCTTCCTGCCTTCCTTACAGGATTAGCCCTGTAAAGTGGGAAAAAACAAAAGGAGATTTCTTCCAACAACCGGTTTTCTGAACTGCTTATAAAGTTAACAACAGGTTCTCCCAAATAGATGCGGAACTGGCTGAATCCCACCACTGGTTATGGCCAGAAGAATCGCCCAGAGCTACAAGTAGTTACTCACTGTCACTCTACACAATGCAAACCGCTGCATGAGGTTGAAGGAAAGGCTCTGGCTGAAAGCTCCCAGCTGTAGCCCTGTCCTCTCCCGAGAAAGGTTCTATGTTAAAGTGCTGAAAAGCTGTTGCTTAATAAGGGTCAGGAGAAGGATAGATTAATGAAGGGTCTGACTCGGTAAATTCAATTTTCCATGTAAATAAACTTCAAACAAACAAACAAACAAATGTTCCCATTCTCAAGCACCGTTGGAGCTCTTTCCCTTTAAGCTAAACAAATCACGAGGAATAAACTCTATGAAAAGGGTGATGTTGTAAGAACATTTTTAGAATGCTGTGTAAAGTTTCTGATGTGGGATATGGNCTGAGCTAGTCTACTCTACACAACAAAGGTAGGATTAACCCTCTACAGAAACTCACCACACAGCCAAGCTTGGGACTCAAAAGACACACAACCTACAAAGTTAACTGAGACACGCACACCCTGCTCCTGGGAGTCTAACAACCAATTAGAATTCATTTCTTACACAGGAACAGGAAACAGGTGGGGCCGAACAAAGAGTATAAAAAACCCAGGAATTCTCAGCAAGCCCCCCCCCCTTTTCCCCTTTTTCTTCTTCACCCAACATCTTGAAGCATGTGATTCCCCCTTTTCTGTTCAGGAGCTCAAGCCATGCAGTCCTGTCCATTAAACCATCTTTCCAAGCAGCCTCCATGTTTCCAGTGTCTTCCCCCCCCCCCACTTGGAACTGAACCCAGAAGGACATTTTTCCGCCGGGGGGGGATTTTAGCCACAGGTGAACAGGTGTACACTTTGATTGGGGGGGGGACCTGGTGGACCAAACACGCTAATACCTCAAGATCAGATCTATTTGTTTTGGTAGAGCTGATACTCTGGCTATTTAATCATTATTTGAACAATAAAAATGTTAGGAATTGCGCTTTCATTAAATGTGCAGCCAGACACAAAATATGTGATTGATTTATTAAGCAAAATTAGAGAGCTGCCTAACTTACACGAAGTGACTCTTGCATAAATGCGGTGGGCTGCTACATTTTGAGCCCCAAAATGAAGCGTCCAGGTGCTCCAGTACTTACTGGGACCAACTTGCAACCCAAGAGGATGTGCACAATGTGACATTCAAATAAAGGCCTTGATCTCTGGCGGAAGCTTCGATGCTAGGAAAAGAGGAAGGAAACAGAAGAAGATGGCCAGCAACAAATTGGCTC